TATTGTAAGCAATTAATTTATGATTATTTTCAACCTTGTGGCTGAAAATCCCCTATGGGGCAGCTTCAATAAACGTATGTATTACAGAAATAAGATACAACGTGCACGGAGTGTCTGTAAAAAAATAAGTGCTATTGGTAATTTGAATATTAAACTATACAATGTCTATCTTATGTCTGATTCATCAAATTATGAAAATTTTTAAAACCATAACGAAAATAGGACACTAGGTTACAAGGTGTAAATAAGAATTAAGAGCTTGTGATAAATTGAATTTTGAACTATAAAATGTTATTGATTTTGCCTCAACTACTCAACCGGGCACACAGAGTTGATATCTGGACACGTTGGCCAGCCAAGCCATTGTACCATTTATTTAACACTAAGTTGTTATGCTTACTTAAGTCTTTTACGATTGAAGGAAACTAAATGCACCAAAGCCGGTCACGATAACACCTAAAATCTAACAGGTGGAAAAAATGGGGAACGTATACATACCCCCAGCCAAGGGAGTGGTTCCACCCTCGAGGTTTTAGGTTATCCTATGAATGACATTTTATACACAGTTACCAAAGGTAGTATGCAAGTACAACCCTAAATTCAAACGAAAACGAAACCGCACAACTAAACACGGCGATTGCTGACCGCAGAATGTCTCGCCTTACTAACGACCTCTAATCACAAACCGCAATCCCATAACTCTCCGCGCACCTCGCATCCGCCTCCAGTACTCTGATACGTGCCTGCAAAATATCAATTTATGCTAATTAAAATTATCACAAATTACATTTTCTGCTGCATGTTGCAAAAGTTGTTTCTATGGCTTAAGTTGTTCCAGAGTTGGCAGGTAGTAACTGCGAACGTCCCACACCCTTCGATCACCTTATTAACTCTTTACACCCTAATTTCAGCATTTATATTCCCCACACTGTTCTCTATACATTTCCTTGGGTGTCAACAAGAAGAATTTCTTTAACAATCAAGAGCTTTTTTAGTTGGTGATCATTTCCTTTATTCTCCTGACCTTAATGTGTGATTCAGGGGTGATATTGTAAGGAGAAATTAGACGCTGGTCGCTCTTAGAGGTCAAAGGGTTAAATCTCGGGCAAATAGAATTAATATTATTTTATCTGGTTGCACGACTATGACGATGACTGTCGAGTCTTCAATATATAGGGGAACTTCACCCTTAATGCGTTTGTGCGCCACGATGCGTTTTTAACACCACACAACATTTAGCTATTTTGGCTTCTTCATGAAAAGGAAGCCGGTGGCATTGCAGACTATTAAAAAGTTTAGCACCAGACGCCTGACCATCAGCGTCGACAATTACCCTTACTACTCTTTCTGTAGCTTAAAAAAGCGGCTTAGATCCACATTATCACAACTAGTTCAGATTGTGCGAACATGATGCAAAGCAGATCTTATCATTGTGTTAGAAAACGATAGTCTTTGTCTCGTGGGCAGGTAAGATCTTATCTTAATTTTTCAGTATCCCGATTCGTTGAAGCAGCTTTTTACAAAGTTTCTCACAGAGTACAGCGTCATTTGCAATACCTAATAGTTTAACACTGGAAACGAGTTCGAGGTTAGTTCCATTAATAGTTAAATCATTGAATCCTGACCGTAACGATTCCCCTTTGAAATATTATTCTAAAACTATACAGGTCGTCATTTATGCAAAAACATTTCGTGATTCGACCAACTTGTTGGAAGGCTGCCACGTCAACTTCCAAAGTCTTGCGAAGATGCAGGGGCATAGCCAGGATTTTTCAAGGGGGGGAAGGGGTTACAGAGGCTACTCACCATTTACACCGCTGCTCTCTCGCGTGTATCAGCGGGCTCAGTCGTATTATCGCGGCATGAAGGCCCATATTAACTAAATACAAGAGCCATTGACGAAATTACTTTACAAAAAAAAAAATTTTAAAAAGTGGGTTTTTCAACAATGGCTTTTACGGCCAAGATATTACCATGGCGTTTTCACCACCTAAATATTGTAGGTTGTTTTCTCTAAAGAAGGCCCACCAAGAGGGGTTCACGGGCACCCCAGGACCCCCCCTGGCTACGCCCTTGAGATGTAATGCCTTCTGATTTGGTAAAAGGCCTGACCACGTGAACGTTTGAAAGTTTTGTACGCTTTCAGAAGGCTTTCTGTGAAGTCGACTCTGCCATTCATATCCTAAAGCTAAAGGCGATCAGATGTTAGCTGTGAGGTTGAGCTGCAAAAGGCAAAATACTAGGGCTTGTTGCAGTTGACTCGAATATCTTTGAATAAAGTGTTTTGGGGACTCTATCTAGGGATTCATGTTTCAAGCGGAAGCATTTGTCGATATCTCAGGAGTGATGAAGTATGATATACATACCCTAACTTGAAACTTTGTTCGTGAGCTCAACACTGCGATCGAACCGAATTATGAAGTCCCGTTTGCGCAAAAGCTACAGCCTTTCACCTTTCAAATTCTCAAAGATCCTTCTTATAAAGCGCTATGAAACTTCACGAACACAAACGAAAACTTCCGCACCTTAATTAGACTATGAAGATACCGCTCTCTGTGATGGCAGCCTGATCCTCTGATTTGACTAATATATTATGACTTGTCGTATCGCGGATATTGAATAATAAAGTATTACTTTAAAAATTTAAAAATTATTACTTTAAAAATTGTAAGATACAGCCACGATAAAATTCGAGAGGAAATGAAGGTTACGCATTGTATATACAATACATAACGCACTGTTATGTATTGTATTTTCAACAACAGTTGAAGAAATTCAATCTCTCTGTGCGAAAGTCGGAGATATTTGTTCCATTTTTTCTTTCTCGTGCCTTTGGTAATAAGCATGTATTAATATTGGGTGATTTTGAATAATAAGAAACAAAATTTCAGTTTCTGACTTCCCACTTGTTTAGGGTTTTCGCGAAAGCTGGCGGGAAAATTAGGTCACATGACCGAATGGTGACCGCGACTGAGGAGAAGGGGCGGCTAGCGGGGCCAACTTTGCAGTCGTGTAACAAAACAAAAAAAAATGCCCTCGTTTTCAGGCGCGTGTAATTTTTCCATATATATTATTTTGATAGTTGAAGTTATCTCGTCATTGATATTTGAGGGGAAACACTTGCCAGTGATGGAAATAGCCTTGATTTTGCCCTCATAAATGGGTTTGTACGGAAAAACTTTACAAATAACCTGGAGTGGTGTTTTCCAGCGTTTTAAGGGATAATTCTGCTTTTTTTTTTATTTGAAGCTGTGAAACAATCTGTCTTTATAGCTATTTTTAAGACAGACCACGCTTAAATATTAACAGAAACCATTCTTAAAAATGAAATTCAAGTGACGGTAAAATAGTTCTTTGGGCAATGTGTTCTAGTAAATCGCGTACGAGCTTCCTTAAAAAATGGGGTCAACAAATAATCTCTCCGACTTTGTTCCCTTAAGTTGTTGGTTGGAAACTGCACGTGTTTTAACGTTTTTCATCTTCCTTTAGGGGGTTCAACCGAACAACAAACCCCCCCCTTCCCCCCCTGGGTCCAGATTTCTATAGTTTATTTTGCATTTAATTATTTGATAAAAGAAAACGATGGAACGAAAGTTTGACGTCACAAATCACATGTACGTCGTTAAAATAGAAATACTCTTTTAGTTTTCAATAGGTCGTGAATAACCAGCGGCGGAACTCACGGAAAATTAGTAAGAAAAGAGAATTCCGATACATTCCAGTGATTTTGGATCTTTATCTACGGGAATGTCAATAAGGACGTTTATAACATTATTATCCGGGCGGCTTTCCATCTCATTATCAAATGCGACATGCCACGAGGCAAGCATTCCTTGTGCATTTGGGCGAATTTTTCAAGAAGAGGCAAAAAAAGGCGTCATCTTTTGTTTCTTGCAAATCCAGTTTTTGATCCCTAAAACCGTACTCCCCGCGTTTCTATCAAGCAAGTTGTCTTTGGAGAGTGTGTGAAGTTATATTGTGGTAGCTACCTTCTTAGAACTTCCGCAGTTTAAGTGAAAATTTTCAATCTCTCTCATCAAACAATCAATTTTTACTTCTATGGTCAGCGGATCCTATTTTCAACACAGGCAGCCCAAGCTCACCACTAGAAAAGCGGACGTGACTCTTAACGTGTTGCGCAACGTTTTATATTTATAAAGGTTTGTATGGGATGTTATCGGTTTGCCTTGAAAGAGAGAAAAATATGTCTTGTTTTGAATTAAAATGGGCTTACCTTATTGCTTTGTTGTTTTCTTCGTTGATTCCGAGCGTCTCAGGCCATTTTGAAGCGTTTTCGGCGAGTTAGCGCTATGCTGGTGTTCAACTGGTAAAAGAAAGACAAGGCCGGAAACCTATTTTAGAAGGGTCCGTCCCCCGAAGCGAATTATTCCGCCAAAAAATTACCACCAGTCTCGATTCCTCCAGAAACTCAAAGCAGAGATGTTGCAGTTTCATTTCCATTCACTCGATTCCCAATTCCTCCCACAGATCTTTCACTAGCGATGCTTTTATCTCCAGATCGATCGGCTTTTCAATTTCGAATTTGGCTGCTTGAAACATTTGCGGGCCCATTGGCCGATCGCGCAGTATGTTGGGTAACAAAAATAAGCCCGGCGAGGGTAGCCAGCGACCTGCAGTCGACAAACAAACCAGTTAGCTCCCCTGGTCCCCTCGAGAGGTTTTGTCAAGACAGCATTGTTTTGATCGACCAATCAACATCGAATGGAAATGTGTGATCAAAACAATGCGGTCTTGACAAAACCATGCGGTTTTAATCGATGCTTAAACCTCTCGTGATAGGAGATCGTCACGTCTACTTCTTTTGTCATGCGAAGGTGTAATGCCTCCTGATTGGGTAAAGGGTCTTACCACGTGAATGTTCAAAAGTTTTGTACGCTTTCAGAGGGCTTTTGCGAAGCTGACTTCGAGTATACGACTTATTTTTGCACTAATGGGTCCGTGGCCGGGGGCGCCTGAAAAACAAAAAAAACGACTTATTTATGTCCTAGAGCTGCAATTCATTAGATGTTAGCTGTTGAGCTGAAGCTGAGCTACAAAAGGCAAAATACCAAGGTTTTCTAGTTGACTCAAAAGCTTTGAGTAGATATAACTTTATAGGTTATACGGTGTTGGAGGCTCTTTCTAATGATTTCAGTCATGAATATGTTTCAAAAGGATCGATGTATATAATTAGATCTTGATCGTAATCATTTTTGTTTTCATGTGCTCAGCATTGCGATCTGCCAGATTGTTTGGTCCTGTTAACGAAAATCTATTATCTTTTACTTATCAAGTTCTCAGAGATTATAAATTGCCGTGAAATTTTACGATCACAAACGAAAACCTCCGCTTCTTAATTAGACGTATAAAACTACCGCTCATGCATGGCGGTCGCAACATGATCATCTGATTTGAATGATATATACTATAAGTTATAACCAATCGTTTCGCGGATATTGAATTATAAAGTCTTTCTCGTTGCTGTACTACTGAGGTGCTCTAAAATTCGACAGGAAGTAAAGGTTCCGTGTTGTACGTACGTATGTATGTTCAACAACAGTTAACGAAGTTCAAGCTCTCTGCGCAAATGTACGGAGTTATTTGTGCCATTTTCTTTTTTTTTTCTTTTTTCGTGTCCTTGGTAGTGAGCATGTATTTATATTGGGTGATTTTAAGCAACTGGAAGCAAAGTGCTATCTCCCTTGTCTTTTCTATGGCAAATTCTACTTGTTTGACTTTGAGGTCCACGCGAAAGCTGGCGGGAAAATAACAACAACAACAAATTATTGATTTACAACAATTACAATTTGAGAAATGCCTACCCACAATTAGATAAAAACTAGTCGAGGCGGTAGGTATAATTAAGTTGGGCTTATCACTGGTACTTACAAAGATTTCGAATTGGCAGCAGTTCAGATTACACTAAGAAAACAGTAGTTCAAATTACGATAAATGATAAATCAAGATTACAATAGTAAATGAATCTAATGATAATAATAACAGGAAAATAGAAAAGAGACTTGAATATACTGGTCGTAGCTAGAGGATTTGATGGCGTTTACAAATTTTTAATTAGGTCACATGATCGAATGCGACTGTACGCGACTTACGTTGGTTGTGTTATGTAAGGATCACTGAACGTGTGGAGGTTTTATTCTCCTCTCGCAACCGTTCTTTGTCTCGGGAGGAGGGAGACACAGGGATCCCGAGACATAGAACGGCAGCGAGAGGAGATTAGTGAGGTCCTTGAGGGAGCCCAACTTCAATTTGCTTCTTTGTACAAGATCCTGTGGGAAATTTTGCATAGGATTGTTAAAAGAGCAGATATAGAGATTATTGCTGCAATAGAGGGATGGTCAGATGGCGTAAAGTCAAAGCTTGTTCTCTTGCTTTCGCAAGAATGACTGCACCTAAATCATGGACACGTAACTCACTTAGTTGGTTACAAAGCTGGCTAAACTTTGTAGCAGCCGTGTGAGAGGGAAGAAAGACATCATGCCTTTTGGCATGTCTACTAGACAGTTTTTCGATGCGCTAAACGTGATGTGTTTAGAAGCTGGAATTTGTAAGCTAAGAGAAATAAGTAAGTTTAGATCAAGCTTGTGGTAACAGCTGGATTTATTCAAAGTGCATAACAAAGTTTGCATGTTCTTTCTTTCAATTTTTAGATATTTGATGACAAAAATTTCAGTTGTTTAACAAAAATACAAAATCAGAGAAAAATAAGAAATGCAAAATTATATTGAATGAAAGAAATAACTGTAAAAGTGGTGGCCTAAACGGCGAAGGCTTACTAGAAACCCACCACCACAGGAAAATTATTAAGGATTATTTATAAAGTAGAATATATTAACTAACTTATCTTAGAAAAAGTACATAAATGTAGTGTAATATAACAGAAACTTTGATACTGATACTTCAAATTGTTTTAGAGCGTAAACCATCATACACTTGTGAACCACCTTTGAAAGACAGGTATGGAAAATGTTTGCAAATTTATGCCTTGTAAGCCCATTTGTAATCAGAGAATTTAAAAATTTAATCTTCTACTTTCTTGCAGCTCGTCAGTACTTTTTCCCTAGCCTTATAATTTCCACCCTCTCTTCAGGTCCTTTGTCACCCTAGCCTCTTTACCAACCTAATGCCTGCAACAGCCTTTCAAAAATTAAGATTGATTTTGGGCTGTTTGACGTGCTGTGAAAGTTTTCGAGTGTGAAATCAAAAGATAGGTTTCGTTGTTGAATATTGTTTACACCATTTACTTATTCACTTTGAATTTTTTGTTTCACTAAGAAATGGCATCCAGCTGTGATGAACCTCCCGTTAGAAGAAAGAGGAAGGCCCCTGATGAAGTAATAACAAAGAATGTTGTGGTTTTGAGAAGTAGTCAAGTTTGTGAAATGGATGGAGTTGTCCTCATGCCAAACACCACTCTCAAGATGTCTGACATAAAGAAAAATGGACAATCTGGAAAATTATCATTTACGAAGAGTACGTCATCAACCGAAATGGAAAGGAGCCTGCAGCAAACTTTTCCTTTTCTTGCTGAATCTAACTCAAGGTAAATTTTAAGTAGAATAAAAAATAACCCATGATTTTAGAGTTAAGGCTGATGTGTCATGTATCAGGGGTCTAGGTGAGTTGTTAGGCTAAGATTTTTCTTTTTTTTTTCTGTGGAAGCAATATTTAGTATAGATTACTACAAGGCCTTATTAATTTTTATTAAGTTTATATTTAAACACAATTTTTTTTTTATGCACAGCAGTGCTGCCAGAACAAGAACAATTTGACAGAACAATTTATTCATATAAGCTACATTTTGCATTCTGTTTTCTTATCTAATATTGTACTGGAGAAAAACCAATGCAAAGACTGATAAGAGAAAACAGCTTTATGAGAGTACCTTTAATAGCAACATTTTTTTAACTTGAAATTTTAAGTTTAAACTGTGCTCTACTATAACCCTGGTTTCTTAAGATTCAAACCATATTCTTGAAGTTGTTAAGGAGTTACCATAATATGTTACAATAACAAAGGCAGCTCATGGGAATTATTAGACTGTGCATGCAATACTCCTTGACCTTGACACAACAGATACTGTTTTTTCTTGCTTTCTTAGGATATGTTTGTAAAAAATTGAGTTTTAAGATGTTTTCCTAAACTCTAATTTGGTTAAATATAATATCTACCTTCAAGTGAGTTCAGTTCTCTTAAAACTAGTACCCTTTTGAGACTAAAGATCTCACAGCAGGGTCACCTTTTCTTTTTCTGTGTTGCAGTACATAGGTACACCATAGAATGTATATTATTTGAATAAATTTGATTCATTTCCTGCGCTGTAAATATTTAACTCAAAGTCAGGGCAAAATTGTACATAATTCATGCGAGATATTTCTTGTTTTGCACCAACATTGCTTTGGACTTTTCTTGTGGTATTATTGTCAACCTAACAATAATCTATGATTGCAGAATTTATAGTGCCAAAGCGGTGGATGGGAAATCAAAATTGGATTTCTGTGGTCAACGTCGCATGTGGAGTGGAGAGGAAACCAATAGAATAATAACAGGAAACCGTGCACTTTACATCTACTGTAAGGTATGTAAGCACTGAGGCAGTGAAGCATTTAATGAAGAGGTTTTCTGTTAAGTTGAATACATTTTGACCACATTTTTATGTGCTTTAATGTGGGTTAATTTTTATCAACAATGCCCATGATTTTCCTTAGATTCCTCTGGTTGCACTATGAAAATTGCTTCACATCTTGCTTGACAGTGTTAATTGGTGATCTTCCAAATACCAGTCAGATAAATTCAGTACTGGTACTTGAAAACTTGTTATATGAATGGAGTGGAAAGCTAAAACTTTGCAAGTCAAGTCAGTTTTGGAATGATATTAATATCAATGTACATATCATGTACATTAGTTACAGAAATTCATGAATGTGTTTTTGCAGTCTGATTTAAACCGTTAATGGAGATCAGATATTAGTTTAATTTATTTCAAAGAGTTATCTTTTGCTTGTTTGTTTGTAAGCATAGTTTTTTTTTTTATCAAGTTTGCATTTGCTTGAAAATTTGTTTGGAATACAAGTTTTCTTGAAAAACTATACTAACAGTTGCATGGATATTAATGGCAGCCAAAGTGGAAAACATCCAGATCTCTGGAAATGTGAGAACTCTTTTTATAGTCATTCACTATACTAGGCAAAGATGCTCTCAAAACAACCATTTTGAACTTTGCAAATTAACTTATGTCCACACTAATTCTGCTCCAGTATGTAGAATCAAAACACTTGCAGAAACCCATAAGGTGTTTTGAACATAGACAAGGATTTTAAACCTGAAAATTGTGCACACAAGGCTACAGGTCGACCTTCAGAGGCCAAAAATCTCAATGGCACATATTTGAAGTGCTAACTCTTTTTATTGCAATGCACATAATGGCATTAAAGGGTGATTTTTGAAGTTATTTAAAGTACTTAAATTGCCAAGTGAAAAAAAGAAGGATACATTAAATTGTGTTGGGTGATATTTCAAATATAACTCAAATGATCTATCTGAGCAACTTTATAATTAACAGACAACAATTTCAAGGGAATAATATTAGTCAAAGTGTGGTTGAAATTATTGGACATCATATTGGTCGGACAATAATTTCAGCTCTGTCTTATATACAGTTATAATTTGGATATACCAACAAAGTTGAAGTGGTAAATTGGCCACCGTAACGATTACAAAAGCTGACAAAATTTTCGAGTGTTAGCCCTTCGTCGGAGCTGACGAAACGTCAGCTTTTGTAATCGTTACAGTGGCCAATTT